TGCCCGTCTCTGAAATAAACTTTCCTTTGGGAAAATTTAGATCCCCGTGAAGTATGAGAATTGGCTGGTGCTCATGAGGATGAAGGTCTTTGTTTTTCTCAGATAAAAGCCCCACAGTGCAGTTGCTGGGTCATATGTCTGTTTCATGTTTAGTTATTGCACTCCTGGTTTATATTTCCTTCCATCTTGTGCCTTTCACATCCCGCCAGCAGGTAGCACCCTAGTTGGGATTTTTGCTTGAGGAATTAGTTCTCTCCATTGTACAGCAGTGCCTTGTTCTCTTAAACCACATTTTCTTCATGGCCAGGCATGGTGGAAAGCATGTGCTTGATTCCCAGCCATGTGTCTTTTGTGGCAAATGGTTTCTTTTTTTTTTTTTCTTACCTACGCCCATTTTCTTATTGGATGTCTATTTTACCAATGACCTTCTTATCTGCCCTCCTTGCTGGATATGCATTTTTCAGTTGGTTTCTCCTAATGTGTACTTTCTAAGCAGGGCCTAAAAGAACAGTTTGGGTTTTTGTTTGTTTGTTTGTTTTGGTTTGATTTTGGTGGTTGATTTTTGGTTTTTCGAGACAGGGTTTCTCCATGTAGCCTTGGCTGTCCTAGACTTGCTTTGTAGACCAGGCTGGCCTCGAACTCACAGAGATCTGTCTGTCTCCGCCTCCCTGAGTGCTGGGATCAATGACGTGCACCACCATGCCTGGCTGCAGATTTATCTGTAAAGTTCAGTTTATCAACTTTCCCTTTCCTGGCTTGCACTTGTACTATTGGGTCTGACAGTTCTGCCCTGAATCCCAAGCAATTTCTCTCAAGGTTTTCCCACAAGTTTATGGTTCTGTGTTTTGCATTTAAGTCCCTGTTACATTTTGAGATCGTATTTGGATGCAGTGTGGGGCTGTAGCGAGGTTCTATGTTTCGCCTCCACCTCTCCTGGCTTCCCTTTGTGTGGAAGTCTCTCCTCCTTCCACTGGCCCCTCTTGCAGCATTGTCCAGGCTGCAAGGCTAGTCTGTGAGGGTCTGTTCTGAGCTGCTCTGCTTCTGTCTGTTCTGCTCTGCTGCCTGCCCCTTGTTGACTCTGTCCTAGCCTGTGCCTCTACCCAGAGGGCTGAGACTGCTATGCCTTCCTCCTCTCCCCTTTTCCCAGGGGTGACATCTGTATTAATTTCATTTCCTAGCTCCTCCACATGTCTGTCTTCCGATTCTCTGGGTGATAGGTGGTTTGTTTTTTTCTGTTTTTGTTTTGTTTTTTAGTTTGGTTTGGGTTTTTTTGTTTTTGTTTTTGTTTTAATTAGAAGCTGCTTGTGTGGTGTCATGAGACTCAGGGTCTTGCACATTTCTGCTTAAACTGACTCTTCCTCACACTATGAGAGGAAGGGAGACAGTGCCTTATTGCAAGTCAGGGACAAGTCCAGCACCCCACTTGGTCACACTGCTGCTTCCCACCTAAGAAAGTATCTTAGTTACGGTTACTGTTGCTGTGATAAAACACCATGACTGAAAAAAACAGCATCAAAAGCAGTGAGGGTAGGATCTCAAACAGGGCCGCAAACCTGAAGGCCATGGGGGTGTTATGCTTACTCACTTGTTCCGTATGGCTTACTCAGCCTACTTTCTTATAGAACCCAGAATCACCAGCCCAGGGGTTTTGGGCCCTCCCCCATCAATCCCTAATTAAGAAAATGCCCTACAGGCTTGCTTATGGCCCAAGCATTTTCTCAGTTGAGGGTTCATTCTTTCTGATGACTCTAGCTTGTATCAAAGTAGCAAAAAAACTAGCCAATACAAAAGGCCTCTTGCTGCCTCCTTTAGGAGATCCACTGGCAGAATAGGTGGCCTGTTGCTTCCAGATGGGTAACAGTTGTTTCAGCCTGGTGGAAGTAAACCTTGTGACTCCCCCTGCTTGGGCTTGTCTCATTCCACCCCTGCCTGGGGCTCCAGGCTCCTCATAAGAGCCCATCATGGATGGGTTCAGGCTGGGCTCTTTTGTGGGCTTTGCTGAAGAACACAGTGTTGCTTGTGAGTTTTCCCTCTCCCCAGAGATAACTGCTTTTTCCAGGATTTGTTTTCTTGGTTGGTTGGTTGGTTGATTTCGTTTGTTCTGTTTTGATCTGTGCCCTTTAGTTTTGGTGATTTCCAAGCTCTCCCGCTCAAAGTCAGGTTAATGAGGCTTAAGGAAATTTCAGAGCTTCTGGGTACCACCTTGGCTTCTAGGGCACAGCATGTCCTCCTTGATCTGCTTTTCTTATCCTTTGTTCTGAAATCTGAGCTCTCAGCTGTACATCACAGAACAGGAAGAAAAGGTAAAGTATATATTTTCTACATCTTTTACACATTGCATTTTGATCATATTCTAGTCCTGTTATCCTTTCTGTCCCCTCCCATACCCAGTGATGCCCATCCTCTTCCCAGCTAGCTCCGATAATCCTACATTTTTGGTTGTATGTAGCCCAAAGAGTTTTGTTAGGATTATTTACAGGATCATGGATGAGTTTGTTTTACAGGAACATGAATTCCTTACCAGTGGCTATACCACTAAAGAAAATGTTTCTCCCTCCACCAACAACTGTTAATTGCCTATAAATCCTTGGGGAAGAAGGGGGGAAGTCACCCATGAGCCTCTTCCCCTTTTGTGATAGGTCCTGTCTTGTGCATGTAATTGGAGCTGCTGTGGAGCTGTTTAAGAGTATAACAATTACATTGGGCCTAGAAGCCAGCTGTCCAGCTCTTAACCCCTCTTTTTTTCAGTGATGTTCCCTGAGCCGCGTGTGCATGAGTGTGTGCATGTGCGTGTGTGTTGGGGGTGGTGTAGATGTTCCGTTCGTAACTAAGCAGTAAGTAGTTATTTACCATTGGTACTTGGAACAGTTATGGATCTCTGCTGTTACCACCAATCACTGCAGAAAGAAGCATCTGTGCCCTCTGCCTGTCTTAAGCCTCCTTTGAGCAATCGAGCTTTCTGTGAAGTTTCCACTCTTCCACAGAAGTCTGGGTTTTTCAGATGAGTCTGTTGCCTGTCCTGTTCTTGTTACCTCCACTTATTTTCTGTCTTTGCAGTATTATGGTCCAACCTCTGGCCAAAACTTGTCTGAATGAACAACTACATCCCTGTTTGCTGAACCTTCCTTGCTAAGGGTGCTTGCCTCCTACAGTCTTCCCACACTTGGCACCTCACCACACCCCTACTCTCTCCTAAAACTTTCTGTGGTGGTTTGGGCAGATGACATGGCTCCGTAGGTAAAGGTGTTTGCAGCACAAGCCTGGTGACCTCAGTTTATTTCTGGAATCCACATAAAGGTGGAAGGAGAGAACCAACTCTATAAAGTTACCTTCTGACCTCCACACACACGCTGAAAAATAGAACTTTCCGTAGTGAGGACACTGAGTCATAGAGTGCAGAGTCGTATAAAATATGCACCATTGCATAGTGGGCCCACATGCCCCTCCCCTGCAGTCACCAGTCCCGTGATCTCATCTTAAATACTTCAGTATGTACCTCTAACAGATAACCACTGTTTCTGTACCCATAGCTGTTAGCAAAAGCTCCTCACTATAGCCAGCTGAAGGACTGTACTCACATTTGGATTCCTCAGTTGCAGAGTCTATCTGATTCATTTTAGGTTCTTATGGTGCCCAGCTCTGCCTTTCAAAATAATAGATACTCTAAAAGTGTACCTTAATATAAAAGTAACATTCCTCTATAGCTCCCTGGAAAACTTTATTAAAATTTTAAGATTTTTTAAAAATTTTCTACGTGTGGATGTTTTGCCAGCATGTATGTATGTATGTATGTATGTATGTATGTATGTATGTATGTATG